TAATTGGTCCTTATTCGATGTTTCAGTCAGCGCAATTATTCACTTTTTCTCGCGAATTAATTTAAATATCAATTTAAAAATAATTTGACGATCAAATAAACTTCATACAAAAATTTACAAACTTTGAAGTATTATCAATACAATACTCAAGACTTACGATTTCAAGAGATGTTCCACGACGATCTGATCTCGATCTTACTTTTTCGACAACTGACTGATGCATCAAACCTTACGTATTTATTTAGTCGAATGTGACATAATTAGAAGTCCCTTGCTTCAGGCGCGCACAAGTCCCTTCGCATGGTCTTTTCCCTTTTTGGAAAAGCTTAACGCTCTTCTTATGTCACGTACTCTTTTTTTAGAGTTTTATTGCTTTTCGCCACGTGGGTTTTCCAAAAGCAATAAAATATCTAAAAAATGACTTCCTCCACTATTCTTCGAAATCCTTTCTATTTTAACGAAATCTTAGGAAAACTCAAAAAAATAACTTGAGTAATAATCGTTAACCTCAATCCTTAAGTTTATCGCTATTCATTTTTAGCTTTTCTTAAAATATATTTTAAATAATTATATGAAATAATTAAAAATACATTTAGACATTACATTGCATTAATGTTGCTTATATATTACTAACGTGGAGAGGATATTGCTGCAATGTCACAATATTGTATTCTGTGTACTTTTTAAACTTATTACGATGCAAAAATATTGCAAATACAGAACTGTGATATAACAAATAGGCCACTAAAATGTTACACATGTGATGTAACAATGTTATGTTGCTAAGTAAGAAATAGCAACATCTATGTTACTTCCATGTTACATTACTGCAGTATAATTATGTAACACTGGTAATGTAATATATACAATGACAATGTTACAGTGTTTACTGGATGATTACTGTGAAGTTTGAAAAAATTACCAAACTGCATAGTAATTTTGAGGGTAATTTTTACTATACATTTCTCTGCGTGTGTAAATTGTGGAATATGGGTATGTCGCCATCTAATGATTTTCAGACTAATGACAGTTTTGTAAGTTGTTGACGTTGCTTGACGATTAGAATGTTTATAGCAACGAGGGGAGAGTTTGTTTATCTCTAGATTATGACTGAGATTTGAATTGACAGGACGCCTTGCTTTGTTGATTTAAAGCAGTTAATAAATGATTTACTTCTTAAATTTTGAAGTTATTATTTCACTATATTTTACAATATTATTTTTTTAGTAATTCTATCGCATTGTAATAGTTTTCTTAAATAAGAATTGAACAAAAAATTGAACCAAATTTATTGGAAATTATGATGATAAAGTACTTTAATTATCAATACAGTAAACTTGAAGTATAAGTACTATTCAAATCTAGCCTTCTTTGACATAATTCTCTAACCATTTTTATTTATTGTTATTTGTAAACAAACATATTCACGTTGTAACGATAGTCAGAGGATACTTCTCAATCTGCGTCGACTATTGTGCCTCGACGCAGTGTCTACTGTTAGAAAGAAATTAAAAATTGATTAATTATCTAATTTCAGAGATTAATTAAATTTGAGGCAATGAAATTCAAATTTAATATAACTCATAAATTATTAATGAAATTTCGATTGATAATAATACAATTCATAATAAATTCGGGCGCCAGGTAGGAGAAAATCAAGTTCTACCTATTAAAAGAATAAGAAATTAATTTTAGAAATGACCTTGAACAATTTATTGAATTAAACTGGCTAGGTTAAAATTACAATATTAATTTAATAAATGAGTAATTGAGAGCTTGAGTCTCTTGGGTGTGTCACCACTGGTGATCACTTGACTCCACTAATTCACGAATAAATATATTGTAAAATATTTGTATGTCGCCATCTAATGACTATTAGACTAACGACAGTTTGTTAGTTAACGACGATTGCTTGCCGATTAAATTGTTTATAGCAACGAGGGGAGAGTTTGTTTATCTCCAGTTTTTGACTGAGACTTGAGTTGACCGCACGGATTTTTTCTTTCTTATTAATTGCTGTCAATCTTTAATAAACTTTTTTCTTTATTTATTAATTTTCCAAAGTTGTTACTTGTTCTTATTTTACAATATACATGTATTATTACATCGACAAAATAATGATTACTGTCAACGCAACGTGTTTGAGCACTTAAGAGAAGTCCTAAGAAGTTACTCATACAACACTCTGGAACACCATTTGCTGGCTATCTATTCCCTCAATTCCAAAACATGAAATTTAACGAATAAAAGAGTAAATTTATGAGTATTTTTGAGGTGAAAATTTGCACAATTACACAGTATATTTAGGTATAATTTTAATACAAAAAGGTGTAATTTAAACACAACATAAATATACTATTTTATACTTAATTGTACCGTGTCAATCGATTCGCTAGGGGTGGATGTTAGAGGTAGTCAAACGCACGTTTGTGCACTTGAATTAAAACTCTTGTTTCCCGAGTCAAAAATGACAGCCTGGTTCAAATCTATAAAACTTATACATCTACTAATTCTGCCGGTAGACTCAGAAGAATAAAATCAGTACTTAGGGTCATTTATTTATATAGAATTAAAAGCCTGCTTTAATCTTCAATTCGTCACGGATGTCTCTTTTTTGCTTGCAAAAATTTAAACTAGGTTTTTGAAACACTGTTAAACATCTACAAGTACAGTGCATAGGAAACTGAAATTCTGATTCAAGCCTGATAGGTCTGATGTTTAAAAAAATTTGAAATTCACAAATTGACGATTATTATAGTTATTAATTAATATCTAAAAATTATTTAAAAATTTTCGTACACAAAGTTGTAACATCACAACGTTAGCTATGAAAACTTAAATATAATTTATAAATATTGATCAACAACTGCTATAATAGTCATTTTATTTGAAAACATTAAAAAATACCTTTTATAATGGTTTTTTCGATTTATTTTTTAATAAATTTTGATGTGAAGACAATTGTTAATTACGTTGAAAATGAATTATTTTATTCTTTATTTGTAGTACTCTTTACTTTTTTATCATTATCTTTCTCCTTTTTCCTCAAATTCCCTGAATAATTTATTTATATATTTTATATAATGAGATTTTTTGATTCGATCATCTTCAGAAAAATACGCATTTAACCATTCTGTAAACAAATTATAATTCAGAATATTATTAATGCTAAGGAGAAATTTACGACCAATATTATATTGAAAACGTTACTCACCATAGAAAGCTTCGAACAATTCAGGGTCAATTCTGGGTCGATCACCAACTTTTCCGAGTGCACAATAATTTTTAAGTTTTTTACCATATATTTCCATTAGAGTAAGTTTGACTGCATTTTTTAAATCTAGTGATGACTGAGTCTTACTTATCTTTATTATGTACGCTACTGTATTAGATGATAGATATATTTCGTGGTTGGCACTAATTCTTGTATGAGTTCGCAAATTTGCAATAGGAAATTTTTCAGGCAACTAAATAACATGAAGTAAAAATAAATTATTGAATAATTAAACTTGGCAAAACATATGTTTCATAAGAATTCCACCATTTTATGTGATGAGAAAATCTCAACTTGTGAATTAACCTAACCGTTTAAGGATAGGGATGATTGTGCCGGAACAGAGCAAACGGAAGTCAGGTTTTATAACAAAAATAAAATATCTTTATTTTCAGCACTAACAGGTACACTAAATACACTGACAAACTTGAGTTGTTCACTAGGAAGACTGAATGTCGCTCAAAATCACTGAATGTCTAGTTTTAATTACTGAATGTGAATTGAATGTCTAAAAAATACTCAACTTGGTGTGTTCAGTATTATTGACCTCCCACACGAGCTCAGCACGCTTCTCAAGTTGAGCAAGAATATGATTGTGCACGTGGCGTTAGCCTATCAATGCAATGCAAAATGAATTTTATGAAATGTCTTGAATTTACAATGAATTATCGTGAAATATTACTTGATTATAGATTTAGCGTAAAGCCTGAATTTTTTGATGATTTACAATAGCACTAGTACTGATGATTGACTCACAATTATAAGATTCGTTAAGAATGAATGAGAATGGCGTGTACACGTGAACGAGAACAGTGAAAGAATGGCGACAGGAACTTCATTAGTCAAAAGGGACACTCAAAAGTAGTCAAATGAGTGACTAGATAAAGAATTATTGATTATTGGGTCGATTGGTTATCGACCCAGTCCCAATATGGCCGCCGAAGTTCCTGTCAGCTGGCAAATTCAAATTTGAGAATTAATTAATTCTCAACATTATGATTATAATTGAAACATCTATTCGATTTTGCACGATTGAATTGATATTTTTATTTTTAGATGAGAAAATATAGAACTTAGAGACCTTAACCAGTATTCCAAAATATCTAAAGTACTGATTTAAGTCTTCTAAGTGTAAAAGTAGACTTTGGAGATGGCCCATTATTTCGACTCAGGTTGTTTACACTGTTATACATTCTTGAGGTAATATAAGTGTGTGTAGTAAAAATTTGCGTCAAAATATTTTTATGCGATTTATCTAAGACGGTTCCATTGTTATACTAATAAATTGTATTTTTCAAGTTTTTATTGAATCCTATTACTACTAAAAAATTTTAATTCATCGTAAGCTGCTCTGCATCATCTATTGATTTTAATAAAAGATCATAGAACTATCGCATAATTCTTTTATGAATGAATTTCAAAAATACTTTAATAATTCATTACAGTCAACAAGTTTTTATTGCTGTAAGCTCGATTGCGATAAACAATTTCAAATTCTGAAAAATTCGAATTTTTGATTAAAACACGAATTAAAGAAATACTTAAATATCCAAATCTCGTCTTCTGAAACAATTGCAAAAAATTCAATTTTGTAATAGTGTTTTATTTCTTTCTACATGTTGAAGAGATTAAACTAAAATCTAACTGTCTCTGTGGATTTAAGTTTATTTTTTATCTTTAGTCTTTTTGATATTAACTTTTTATTTAATTCCACTTAATTTTTCAGATAAATTGCCTGCTGAGGCTGCCTTTAAGGGGACAGAATATTTAAAGTTCATCATAGACAAAGCTCAACCAATTTTAAGCCATGATGAATTAATAAGTTTCTACTTCAAATCTCGTCAGCATAATGGATTTTTATTTTATTCTGGTAAGTAATTGTCGTTTTGTAATGCTACGTTGTAAGAATGTCGGTACGGCCGTGAAAAGTGGTCTATATTTATTCCCGATAGACTTCGTTTCCGTTCCTTCAAGACAACTACCAATTGTTTTTTGTTATTCTTTTGACTGTGACGTGTCGAATGTCTATCAAAAATATGACTCTTCCATGGCGACAAAATTTAATTTTGTCAGAAAATTGTCTTTTTTATTTCGACGGAGAGACGATCAGCACTTTTTGTTGTTATCATTATTTTGCGTCTTACAGTTTGTCGAATATGTCTGGCTATAGATTAAGGCCTCTGATCCACTCGGAACTTGACCAGACGGGTTTATTTGGCAGACACCTGACTTCCTTACTTGAAAAAAATCTATTTCAGTTGGTAATTGCTTTTATGGTATAGGGAAAGCAATAATGAAGCTGAGTGTACCTGATACGGAAGACCATAGTACAACACTATTTAGATTTAATTCACTTAAGCTGAATGTCTCAACTTCATTATTATCAGTATAAAGTAATTTCTTTACTCAATTTTAACTTCACTCACTGTGTAGTTCGCAAGATTTTGAAGGGATAAATTTGTAAAATTATTATTAAATTTAGACCATTTATTATTAACAATCGAAAAATTGAATAAAATACGATAATAAAAAGAAAATGATAATTTATATCAAAATCAAGTGATGGTCTTTTCGCAAGATACAAAAAATATAAAGTGAATTGGTTTCTGGCACACTGCATACAACATAAAAAGAATTAATTATTTACTATAAACAAAATCTGTTATGACAGGACAACGCCTGAATAAATATGTTTATTGAAGATATTTTGAAACGATCTGTATATATGTATATAAGAATATACGATCTGAGTGAAAAGCGTTCAAGGTCAATGGCTTTAGATTTGAGTACTCAATAACTAACGGAAAATTACTTTTAAGATTTTTGAAGTATTACAGATTGAAATAAAATATGTAATGAAATAAATGTCAATTGTACATAAAATAATAGTCCGGCGGCAAAATTAAGTTAATAATGAATCTTTTCGTTTTTTCATGTAGAAGTACGGAGATTTGAGAAGGACGCTTAGCAGCGTTTGTAGGCTCTCCGGGGTGGTAATGATATGAATTATGCGTCTTACCCGTATTTAGATAGATTTCTATGATGATTCTGTGGTAGACTGACATTCGAAAATTCTTCGTAGACTTGTTTCGTCCCAAATTGATCTTCCGAAGTCAATAATTGTATTCAGAACTGGCCAGTTATGATATTGGAAGAGAAGAAATTGGCAGGGCTCTCTGTTTATGCGTCCATCCTCGGTAACGTCCCACGGCGAAAAAGTTCTGTACTTTATGACATTCACACTCTACAAAACCTGTAGTGAAAAATTAAGAAAGTCGATAATGTTGGAAATATTAACCTTTACTTGATTATTAAATATTTTGAAGACCATTCTTTAACTATTAATTAACAAATCATCCTTTACTTATTAAGTTGCCGAAACAAGTATGTTTTTGGAATACTTAATGCATGAACGTTTCAGAATATTGTTTTAGTTAAAGTACTGGTTATAGCATGCGGTAAACTTTGTTTTGAATAACGGGAAAGTGACGTCCTTAATCTTTTTTGCTAGCCAAAAATCATATTATCAATATTTTTCGCAGGTAAATAGAGTGAAAATATATTTGGATATATATTAAATTATTAAATATGTGTTTCTACTATTCCAAATAATCAAAATTTTTTAAAGAAATGTTTGTTTATTTATTGGTGACATTTTTCTAATCTATGTCCAATGAATGGACGATGTTTATTTTACTGAAAATTTATTGGAACATTTTATTGCATGAATTACATTTGTATATCAAAACGTAGTAAAATTTTTTTTGTATCGTAATAATACTCCTTTTAGATGTCGGATCCAAAAAGAATTTATAAATTGCATAATTACTAGAATAAAAATGTGCAAAAAAAACAATGGAAAGTATTAACGATGGTATGAGTCTACGTAGGGCTGCAGAATAATTTAATAAATACTCTAATATTTAAGATGACGACAATAAGTATTATCTATTGAAATGGCTCCTGGCGAAGAGAGTGATTACCGCGCCAGGAGAGAAAGATGGGTAGCGTGTGAGAGAAGAAGATGGAGATAAATGGATGAGAAAATAAGGGAAAAAGGAGATTCCTATGATATTTTTGGGTACTATATGAAGTCCCTATGGATCAGGTGGAGTAGATAGGTACAGGATGTATGTTGAAGGAAAAGCGCGGGAAAATGTATATGATGTTTCTCTCTCTTTCACTTTAGTAATATCTTATACCACTTCTAAGAAGTTTCTGCCGTGACAGAAGACTTGTATGTTGAAAAACGGAATAGCCGGGTATTCCAGGGTCTCGGATCCGTGATCAGTTAATTAAAGTTGGGCTATGAATTTTTATGATTGTTCTGCTTAATACATATGTATGTAATTTCCCACTTACCTTATTTCTCGTCCGGTGATGGTAGAGAAAGTTGTACGAGAGGAAATATGTTGCGAATGAACGTATGAGTGTGACGAGAGAATCAAATAGCAAGAGAAAGATGCGAATATTAGACTAGCGATGGCAAATTAGATTGCACGCAGGCTTCGGGGATGAGAAATACCTGTCGGCACGATGATGACACTCGTAGGAGGTTTCCAGTATTCCTCCGAGGTTCTGAGGTCAATCTCTGCAAATTAGCATGCAAAAGGCAGGAGGAACTTAACCCTAGGGAATTGTCGTCCACGAAATTACAATACTGAAACTTTATTCAAAGATATCAATTGTACAATTTCGCAGGATTCACCAATCCGCGACCTGAAGCGGACCTGCTTTTACACGAGTTACAGATAATTGATCGTACTAATCCAATTGTAATTATTTACAATAATCTTTAATAATTACTAGAACACTAGCTGGGTACGAGGCTACAATAGCAAACAAAGCAATTGTCTGAAGGGCCAATAAGTATCTTAATTAATTAATTATTACAATTATTAATTAACGGGGACTCGCCCTATGCCCTTTCGAGGTATAGTATTATGTTGTCGAGCTCACCCTGAAGATACTTCGATGGAGAATGCTGGATATGTCTCAGAAAACTCTCTCGTCGCTCTGGATATCCTTGGGCGTCCTTCAGTTGCGTAGTCTGTTAAGCCTTCCGGTGAGTGTGATAATAAATACTTGTCTCACTCTTTTATACTACGGTTCAGATCTGCCATCATTAGAGATCATGAAGTTGAAATAAAGCGTAAGGCTCCGAGGCTATTAGTCAAAGGAGTTTTCGCTGGCGTCGTTGATGGTTAATCACAGACCATGAATCGCATTAATTGTCCTTTTATCAAAAGCTAGAGCTAAAGATTCGAAATTCAGGTATGCTTAGGTAAGAGGAGGTCATATCATTATCAAAAAGTATAAAAATAGTCAAAAAATTTGTATAAACTCACATTTAGATTTAGATAACTTAGAATGACTTGGTATCAATCCGTCTAAGAAACATTAAGCTGCTGCTGACTCTAAGATCTCTGAAAACTCTATTTTGGTCCTGAGTCTAAACATTAATAGTTATCTAGGCCATGCTAAAAAATTATGGAAACAGGTTGCTGAAATCAGGCCTCTTATAAATAATAAGGCCTAATATGATGGATACGTAGCTAAAGTCTGCAAATAATGTTGATTTAAGTAGTCATGATGATTATACTATCATTTTTAGAGACAGAGACCTGATGCATTCTGAATCCCTAAAAGCTGAAGTTCTATTAATCTCCTCATCTGACTATTTAAATGATCCTGAATTTCCGATTTTTGATGTTATCCTGTCCTCTGGAGATTATCTGCTGCTTTAACGTGTTTATCGTAGGCTTTTGGGCTTCCAGTTGCATTACTTTTTTAAAGTTTTTCACAAGTTCATGCCAAATTTCAAAAAAATGATGATTGCTGGGGACCTCGATGGTAATTTACTAGAAGATAATTGTTCCTTCAAGCACCTTGAATCACTTATCGACGAATCTTCATTGAATTGTGTTCCATTTGGTACCTTCTTTCGTGTCCCAGATGATAGTTTGTGGCTTGATGTTACGCTACTTGACAGGCGTACTAAATTGGGCAACTACTGTAAATCTAATGTGGCATTCATAGATGGCCATGAATATCTTTGTTGTGAATATGTTTTGAAAAGGCATATTACTCTTGTAAAAACTACTGTGTCCAGATATTTCAGAAATTGTGATTTTGTTGGCTTGTCCAAGGCCATGATTGGTCTAGTAAACCTAAGTCATTCACTCTTTCATACATTCTCTTATCTATATCTCACACTCTCTTACATATTTTTGCATAAGAGAGAGAATAAGAGTAGACATAAAAGAATAAATGGTAGGATACATAAGAAAATGTATGAAAACGAATATGAGAAAATAGACGATAGAACAAATGAGAGAAAGTGCATGAGAGCGACTACCTGAGAAAAAATTAGGGAAAGTATGAGACATAGATGGAAGAATAAATGAGTATGCAATACACAATTTTCTGCACACCCTGCATAAAGGAAGATGTAACATGGGTCATGAACAACACCATTTGTTTATAACAATAAAATTTGTCATGAGGCATTGAACACGAAATCTATGCAATGAATTAAAATCTTTCTAGTGGGAAATGTTACAGATTAACAACAACGTCGTGTAATTCATGCGTACACTCAGTGTATTCCAGAGGTTACACTGAAAATTCACCATTATTTCTGGAGGAATACATAGTGTACGTGTCTCATTGTAAGCACCGAATTCACACCAAGAATGAATATTGTTTTTCTACGAATTATACTCAAAACTTATAGTTGGTATGTTGAAAAACATTATAGTATATTTAATTAAAGAATTATTAAAAATACAATGCATTTATTGAGACTTGTCTTCACGGAGATTCGAAACTGCGACTGCTGCACTCGAAAGTTGACACCTTACTCACTCA